GAGCCCAGCCGAGCCCAGCCCGCTGCCCTGAGCCAGCAGCACGCCTCGCCCGCTGCCGCTACCAAATCAACCCCTTCTCTGCGGCCTGGATTTGAGCGTCACGCGCTTCTAAGCGGTTTTTAAGGACTTTGAAACGTCGAAGCGCGTTCTGCATACCTCGGGAGCGTAACAGAGAAGCAGCTTAACCGCGTATTGGGAAACAGGCTGTACGGGTGGTTTTCTGTAGGTTGACGTGGACACGGTGTCTCTTTGGCGGTGGTGGTCCGATTGTTTCAAGTACTTGGACAATACCCTGTAGGGAAGGGAACTTGCTACTGTTGCCCACGAAGTGTAGTTTCTCCAGCCTGTTTGCAAACTCTAGACTCAGCAGATGTGTTTTTATAACAGTAATGTACTGTACAGTGTCACACACTAAACATCCCTGGATGTTTTGTATCTTGATACGTTACAGGACAAGTTTTGGATAACCAGAGTCGGGCTCCTTGGCGTTTGTCATCTATAACAGATTTCTTCTGGTCGATAGCAGATTTCGTGGTTCTGTTGTAAGTAGAAGTTAATTCTTTTGATGAGCTCTATTTCACATTTGCCGTAGGTAGAAGCTACTCAGTGCTGTCAGTAAAACAGCAATAAAACCGGTAGATTTACTCTTTAGCACTCCATATCTACTGTCCCCAAAACCATATATGAATGTTTTACTATGACTGCGTGGCTTTGGTTATTAAGCACTATAATATATTTAATAAAAACAAAAGTGTATGAAAAGCGATGCAAACTTACTGGCAGTTCAAATGAGTTTTCTTACATTTCTTCCATTTTAATACTGGAAAAAGGAAACATATACTTCTGTTAAACAGCTAGTTTCTAATAGCTGATCAAATAATTAAGATACTATTTGGAGAATTTCTACTGGTGACAATAGATTCTGGCTATGTAAAAATAATCACACAGAAGTAATCACAAATTTATGGCCCCAGATCAAAGCCAGTTAAGAAACAAAAAGTTCTTTTGATGTATTCAACAGTCCTTCATTATTTCAGTTACAGGTTTATATTTATGCATTTCTTGCACTTTAGTTACCAGAAGAATAGATTTTACAGTTTGAGCCTTACAGTAATTTCGAATTACTTCAGATTTGGTCTTCATACGTAGGAGAAAAAATGTCAAGATTTGTTAAACAACAATAATCTTGAGAAGATACACTGTTCATTCCTGAACACTACTTACAGTTTTTCAGGCCATTTCTTATCTTGCAATCCAAAAATTCAGAAACTATATCTAGCAATCAGTTCACCTAACTCCTGTTTTATTTTTCAGTTTCCAGAGCATTATTCAACCAGATTTGAGAAGAAGAGGCTACACATCTTCCTCCTATTCAGGATACAATGATGGAAGAGGGTATTTTTTCATATTCACGCTAGTTCTGATTTTTTCTTCTATCTTAGCAAAATGACATAATGTGTTCAGATTACAGTTGTGATTTGCTTTGAATCAGATCACGTAAGAAGACTAAAACATTGTTTATCTGTGGTATTTTGTCTAAAACTCGTTGATGACAATACATAGCTTTGGATAGCTGTAATAACAGTATAGTCTGACGCTCACTGAAACAATTTTTCAGACCTGCCTAATAGGCAATACGCATCTTTGTTGAAATTCTTCTTTTGTTAGACTTGCTTGTACTCAGCATTTGATTTACATTAAATCAGTCATTTCATGTATTAGATTACCTACAGATAAAGCAGAACACTTTGTTATAGGGATGTAATTTCTATAAACACTATAGTTACTGTGTTCTTTTGTTCTTAATGGTTTGCCTAACTTTTTTTGTAGGACTGTGTAAAAGCCTCAGTTAGCTGTAGCTTTCTCTTGTGAGACAGGAGAAATTAGAACCCTTTGTGTAGGGGAATTTTCAAGAAAGTGGGGTTGGGTTGTTTTTTTTTTTTTAAAAAGCTTTCACATGAAACCCAAACAACTTTTCCAGAGGTTCTAACTTTCTAATTGCTATCATTCAGAGACAGTGTTACTATATTTCTAGTTTAACAATTTAATGCCGATTGCATGTTGTTTTCCTTGCCTTCCTTTCCTTTTCAGGCCTCCAGCACATCCTCGCCGAAGGATGGGTCGAATAAATCACTGGGGTGGAGGCCCCAGTCCACCACCAATGGCTGGAGGTGGATGAGGAAGGTAATTCCAAATCTGCTGTATCCTGCTTTGAACTTTTTTTTTTTTTAAACAACAATGATAATTGAAGGTTAAGGTAGAATGGACTGTTTTGTCCTCCTTTTGCAAACCTTACCAAAACAGGAGGAGGATCAAAGTGGTTAGATACTTTCAGTAAAGGGGGGAAAAAAGGGAGGGGGAGTGTTAAAAGGTTTTGGCTCAGAAATGGTGAGCTTCTACTTTTAACTGCATAGAGGTGGATATACAGAGTGTAGCAAAGATTTTTGAACGCAGCTGATAAAAAACTATTTAGAACTTTTCATCTTTTTTGGCTGCTAACTTCTGTCCAGATCAGTAGTGACTGAAACTTTGTTTGCATTTCTAATAGTTATCATGTGACACGTGACTTTTTTTGTTTAAAGTACATAATTTTACTTCTTTTCTGTCGGTAAGTAATACAGATGTTAAAAGTCTATTAGTAAAAAACCTTTTTTTCCTGTTACAGTGATATAGCTATGCAAATCTTGAATTCTAATACAGCATAAATATCAGAATTGCTTAAAAAGGGGGGCAGAAACCATTAAAAAAGCCCTGGTCTTTAAAATTCTTACAGCTGCTTGAACTTTAATTCTGTTTTATTGATTAGTTTGGCTGGTGGGAGTTTCATCTAACACTGAATGTATATAGAGTATGGTTTAATTTACTTTAAGATTTAAGTAAACAATCCTTTTTCCTTTTCATGAATCACTCCCCATCGTTACCATAACAAAAGTTACAAGAAAAAAGAACACATGCAGTTGGTTAATACCTGTAAATCTTGTAGGAAAAAGTTCATATTCCAAAAAGCACCTACACTAGTATTTCGGTTCCCTAGAAAAAAGGATAAGCTTCTTCCCATTTTTTTTTTTCATTTGGCTGTTTTTTTCTTTTCGACTAGACATGAGGCCAGCAAAGGCTGTGGGGAGGGCTTTTGGGTAATAACAGCAACGGGTAATCTGCTCGGGAATAGAAGTTTGCGAGTCCCATTTAGCTAAATTAAAAACAATTTTATTTTAAAATTGTTACTTGCATAATTTTATCTTGCAAAGAAAGGCTTTGTCATCTTTAAGTGTACTGTAATTACTTTATCTTTTAGGTAAACACCTGCTGAAGAGGCAGGCAAAAGAGCATACACATCTGCAAGATGAAAGGGAAGAATAGTTTAGTGGTGGACCAAATGAGTTTGAATGCTGTGAATGTGTATGTCTAACTGGAAACTGTTCTGTGATACAAGCAGATTAATGAAGTTGTACTGGGAACTCCTTCTTCAAGGATCTGGTGTAACTGAACCGCAGTTTTATTAAATACATGTTTATTGTCTAAAGTCTTTGTATAGTTTCTGAACATTTTAATGTAGTTGCAAAGTAATAAGTAAATTATATTTGGCTTGTCACAAAGCTGACTTTCTCATCATTTTAGGAAAAAAAAAAATCTGTCTGAAGTACAGTAAGCCCTTTTCTGTTCAAATGAGGAAGAATAAATTTATATTTAATACAGAATGTCCCTCAAGTCAAACTTAAAGCAGTGCTTCCTAATAGGCTTGGTATTTACTCTTATTTTTGTCAGTACTAACATTCTGTACCTTGCTGTATTTTTATGATGGTAATGATACTCTAAAACCTCTTTTAAAATGCAACTTACAAATTTCTTTATTTTACAATCCTTGCGTTTTACAAACTCGCTTCCTTAAGGCCCATAATGGGTTTTATAACATGCCTGTTTTATAAGCACATCTTGAAACAACTTCCTTCTCCATTATAAACTTACTCAAATGTATAAATCTATTTGCTGTACAAATTTTGGTAAGACTTTTTTCCAATAAAATTAGGCTTTGTTTTTATTACAGGAAGAGAAGGTAGTGAACTCAAACACAGAGTGCTAACACAGAAGAGTTTTCTTTCAAACAGTAACTACCTTTTAACTAATTTACCCCATTTCAGGATGGGGGTTTCTTACTGTTGTTCTTGGGTTTGGTTTGGGGTTTGGTTTTTTTGTTCAGTTGGAGAGGGCTGCATCTGAGAAAAGATTAGCTGCCAAGAATCCAGATTGAATTATCTTTTACAAGGTGCCACTGCAAATTTTTTACTTAAACCTCTCTAATAGTCTCTTCAGCACGAAATTATAACATCCAACAATATCCCTTGGTTAACATAGGCATCTACTAATTAGCTGGCTTTTGCCAGCTAGTTAGGGTGAAACCACCCCCTCCGGTGGTTCCTGCTCTTGCTACACATACGCAACACAGAAAAAAGTTACTGTCTTCTAAACTTGCCGCGTAACAGCAGCCTTTGGTCTAACACACGTACCTTCCTCAGCTCCACTCAAACCTCGCATCTGTGGAGCTTCCCGCCCACAGATCAGGTGTGTACAGGTAGGTGGGTCATCGTTAAGTTCTTCAGAGGTGTATCACACGTGTATCAGCTGTACTATGATTTTTTTATAGACAGTATTTTTTTAAGTTGTTCGGAGGACTGCATTACCCTTCCTCCAGGCCGCCCCCCTCCCTCCCCGCCAGTAACAGCCCAGCTGACCAGGTT